AAAAATTATATACATATATATATATATATATATATATATATGTTTTATGTAATTTTTATTTGAAATTTTGATTGATATTTTATGCATTTGCATTTGAATCAATGATAAACTTGATTTCTGAATATAAAAAATTAATTTCTTTATTTTATTTATTAAAAGTAGAAACGTAATTAATTTTTTTATTTTTTATTTTAAAAAAATCTGGTGAGTCAATTCACCTAATCCACCAACCTGTGGTGGGTCAAATCGGATTGAAATTTTTTTGACTTACCAAAAAGTGAATTAGATTGGATTGACTGATTTAAAACATCAATCCATGATAAGTCAACCCATGTGAGCTGGATTATGACACCTCTAAGGATAAAACACTTCCAAGAATAAAATATCATGTTTGTGAATCCAATTAATAACTTTCCTTTTCCTTCTAGTGAGGGTGATCGACTCCATGCTTAATTTTTTTCTTCTTTAAATTGGAGCTTTGGGAATCGACCTACAATATCCACCTCACAATTTGTTTAAGGTCGAAGTTATTGACATTAATATATAGTGTAGTGACCGTAGTCAGAGCGAGGAGATCGAGGTCATGTTGCCACTTTCAAGTCACAACCCAATAAAGAGTGAAATGAAACAAAATGTTAGTTATTTTTAGAAAAAAAAGACACGTTATAAACCAATTTTATTCTTATCCATGTTATGTACATGCGATGTCTTTTAATATTCATCAAAAAAATATCCAAGAATAATAAATTGTGATTAGTGCTCCCTAATACTATTTTGCAATTGCTTTAGACCTTAAAATTGAGCCACAATTGTCCAATGACAAAGAGGGGAAGTAAAGGTGAGAATTTTTTTTTACCAAAATGGGCAAAAATTGAGGTTGTTGGCTATTTTATGGCATAAAAATCTTGCGATGAGTAGGCTAACTTAAGGTGATGTGGTTCAATATCAAGTCTTTTAAGTAAGTAGGTTCAGTATCGTGGTTTCATCTTTAGTTGATGTGAAATCTATAATATCCTCTTCCCTCATGTCGAGAATTGGACATTTCGAGTATAAAAGTTATAGGATTAAACATCTGGTGGTCCATTGTCGACCCGATAATTTATAGGACTAGACATCAGGTGATTTGATAACAATTCGATAACAAATGGTTTGCTAAGTCCACTAAGAAATAAGAATGATAACAATAGGCTCTAATACCATCTTAGAAAATGAATTGGAATTATTGTGCACTAGGGTTACCACACACACATCTCCACATTAGTATGATATTATTCACTTTAGACTTAAACTCTCGTGATTTTGTTTTTGGTCATTTCTCAAAAGGTCTTTCAAAATTAACTTGTAAAGTGAATATTATTTTTCACTTGTATACATTATTATGTCTTCATCTTTAATTAATGTGAAATCTCTAATACCCTCTTCTCTCATGTCGATAATTGGATATCTCAAACATAAAGTTTACAAGACAAGACATCTGGTGGTCTGATAATGACTTGATAATGTACGATTTAGATCTGGTAGTCCAATAACGATCCGATAATAAATGGTTTGATAAACCCATTAAGAAATAAGAGTCACATAGGCTCTAATACTATCTTAGAAAATAAATTAGAACTGTTGTGCATTAGGAGTTACCACACACACCTTTCCATAATAGTAAGATATTGTTTATTTTAAATTTAAACTTTCATTATTTTGCTATTGATCATCTCACAAAAGGTCTTTGACAATTGGAGATTTTATGTGTATATAAATTCATATCAATCATCTTGTTTGAATGATGTAGGACTTTGATTGTATTCCAACAATCCTTTCCTCAGACAAAGGATTATGATTTACTCCCCCTTTATAACATAAGCTAATCCGAAAGTATATCCAATGATGATCCATAGAACTTAGTCACACTCTAAGTACTTGCATCAACGCTTCATTGTTAACTCAACCTTTCATGTTATCATGAAGACTCTCTTCCATATATGGACTTACCATTAAGAAGACCTTTAACATAAAGGATCCTATAATTAGACCCACCTACCAATTATCATACTTTTTGTGTCGATCATCGGGTCAATCATTAACTTTAATACCACTTTAAACTTAAATCATCATAATTTTACTTCTAAACATCATTAAAAATGTGGAGATGCAATACAATAGTTGTCATAGTTTTGTATTCTCATCTCATTAATACAATAATTGTCAGCTTTGAATTTTAAAAAAAATTATTAAAAAACATGGACCGACCAAAATGGATGATAGTTTGCATAAGGTAAAGCTTAGACATTAATTTAAAAGACGACCTTTATGACACAATCCATGGCTTAAAATAATAAAATTAAAAAATAAAAAATAAAATTTATATGTAATTACATCATTTATATAAAATAAAAAATATTTACGCAATTAAATTATGCATGAAAAGATACTTTAAATTGTTTTAATTTAAAATATTATTTGTTACCTTGAATATCTTAATTAATCAACCCTTATATATAAAATACAAATAAAATGTTACGTGAAAGCATTTTTAAATATTTTTCTTTAACAAGAAGATTTTAAAAATAGAAGGACAAAAGAAAGTACAAAATCGTGTCTAGCTGCAAAACCAAAAACAACAGCCAAACAAAGACTAGAACCAGAGAGAGTTGCCATATCAGCCGTGAATGTTGCAGAATCTCCTCCCGGATCAGAAACAACAGCAGATAAAATCCTCTGCTGTAGAACATGTGCAGCTAAACCAGGAACAGCAACTGGTTCTGAATCATTAGCTGAACCAGAGTCGTCGGGTTTATCCAAAACATTTTATGTTACAGCACCATGATCAGTAGCCACTACCAAAACAAACAGCTTTATACAGCAAAATGATCCAGAGTAAAAATATCATGAAAATCTGGTGGACTTTGCAGCTCTGACACTTGGGAGCTGCAAGCTGGATGGGAGGATCTCTTCATGAGCATGCCAATCAAATCCATTGGCTGCAAGGAGATGAAGGTCATGCAGGACAAAGTGAAAAAATGAAACAAATCGGCTGTATCAGTAAATGTAACTGGGACTGAGACATCAGCAGGTCTATCAATCTGAATCATCTGATCCAAAACAGGTTTATGTTGGCTTGTTCCATGTTCCTGATCTGAAATACTATGAGGGGCCAATCCAATCTGACCATTATCATCAAATTAGACTACAATAAAATATTCTAACAGAAGAAGTCAATCATTCAAAATCAGTATAATATATTACCAGTCCAAAGTACACCTGGAATTTTGAAATATCACAACACTTTTATGTATATTAATTGTCATATGGTGAACAGAGTTTGCATTGGAGACAGCAAAGTACCAGATATAAGTAAGATGCAATCAAAGAGGAGATAAGGGTGAAAACAATAGAGTTAAATGGTAGAACTAGAGACTTTACCTCACTTAACCATGCCCAAAACTCAGGCCTCAATATTAGAAGTGTATGATCTATTCAGTTACATATAGAGAGCTTGCCTGTCCACTCATCAGCTACACCATAGTCAAGGCTGAGCTCTCCCATGGGAGGGATGTTCTCCATTGTAAATAGCATAACGTGAGGGAACATCAAATTGTGGTGATCATACAGAACAAACTGAACCAAGACATTTGGAGTTGAACTATGGCTCATATAACAAGCAACATTCCTCATTGTTGACACATCCAGAGAAAAATCCAAAGGAGGAATTGATGAATATGATGGTCGCACATACTGTGGGTATATCTGAGACAAATCCCCCCATTCTGCCCATCTTTCAGAAAAACGATTAGGATATATCAACGAATCACCATTCATTGTCAAGAGCTGCGCTTGCTCCCTAGTCAAAACAACCCCTGCAAACTCGCAGATAAAAGCACCAGCTAGAATTAGATCCAAGGACCTAACCCCCCCAAGCTGTCTGCTGAGACCTAAACACTTCCAACCTAATTTTCAGCCCCTTCTGTGCAACACTATTGCGACAATGAGGAGGAAAAGAGCAGAAAGGGTCACATTCAAAAATCAAAGGCTTCCCCTGCAGAGTATAAGGAAACTCACCCCCATTTTTCATAGCACAGAAGCATTCATCACCACAACCATCCACATAGTCACAACCAGTAGCCTTCCCACTCTGATGAAACACAAACTGCATAAAACTAGTCCTGGCAAGATACTTGTAGCAAAGAGGACCCCGGTCGTCATCTATGTCACTAAAAAGCTGAACCGGAACATTATCCTTCCTGTTCGACATATCAGCAGCAAGACAAAACACATGATTAAAATCCAAACCACTCCTAATATTCCTAGCTTCCTTCAAAACAGCACTACCCATTCAGTGTAAATATATATTTCTTTTCGGATTCTTTACTTTTTTGTTGAAATGAACAAAAAGTTCATCATACATACATGTGCATAAACAATTCTTGTGTCCCATCACATAACAAGATCTCCATATCAACAGAGCTCTATAATCTGAGGTACCTGTATCCTGAACCAATATCTTCACTGTCAAAAGCTCAATAATGTAGCAGCATCCTAAAAACTAGCAGAAAATTAGTCTACAAATTAGGAATAAAATTTAAAGATATCCCCTTCTGTCTGCATCTTTCTATGATGTTTCGGGCCTCTTCAAAATGGTCCTGCTGAACCAATATTTTAATAATCAAGTTACATATATATGAATCGGGAGAGCAACCATTTGCCTCCATTGAGTAAAACATCTTCTTGGCTTCCTCTGATCTCCCAGATTCGGACAGTGCCACTATAAAAGCACTGTAAGTGTAATTGTCCGGATTCAAGCCAGATTGTGACATTGAATCAAAAAGCTTTTTAGCTTTCTCAATTTTATTCATCCTACAGAAGAGTTGAAGCAAAGCATTATAGGAGTATGTGTCAGGGCTTATTCCTTCTGTTTGCATCCTTCTGAAAAGCTTCATCGACCTTGCAACATCCCCAGTGGCACATAAAGATCGAATCAAGATATTATAAATGACAGCATTAGGATTGATGCCCCACTCAATCATCTCAGTAAAGCATTCAAAAGCTTCCTCAATCCTCTTTATTCGACAGAGTCCATCAATTATAGAGCTAAAAGTGAAGATATCAGGTTTAAGTCCATTTTCTAAAAGCATCTCCAGCAGCTCCCGTGCCTTATCTATTGATCCATCCTTGCAATGACCATTAATAAGGGTATTGAAAGTAACAAGGTTGGGAACAAAGCCTCTAAGCTGCATGTCTCTGAAAGCCTGAGACGCATTATCCATCAGTTTGGCTCTGCAGAAGCAATTAATTATCATGTTATATGAGAAGACATCTGAAATCATCCCATCACTAACCATTCGACCAGCGACTCGACCCCCCTCCTCTCTCCATCCATTCTTGTATAACGCTTCAATAAGCGCGAGATAAGCACCAATGCCCGCCTTCACACCTTGCTTTCTTAAAACATCAAACATGTCACACGCCTCTCTCAGCTCACCTCCCTTAACCAAACAAGCCATCACAACATTGAAAACAGAATTATCAGGTACATAACCTCTTTCTAGAACCTTCCTCAGAAACATAACCATCTCCTTCGCCATACACTCATTTGCAAGGCAATACAATACAGTATCACAAGCCAACTTAAAATGACCATGCTCCCTTTCTAAAAACTTACACAACAACAACTCGAGCGCCTTACCCGGATTCACGCAACGAAAAACACCGTGAACCAACGCTCTGACCGTGGCCTCGTTGGCATGAACTCCAGTCTCCTTCATGGTGTCGAAAACTCCAAAGGCTTCATCAACCCTGTTGGCATTACAAAAGCCGTGAATGAGAATAGTGTAAGTGAAAACATTAGGAAAATGCCCCTTTTCCTTCATTTGTTTGACCAATCGAAGCGCCTCATCGACGACGCCGATCTTGCAAGCCCCGTGAATGAGGGTGTTGTAAGTAACTGTATCGGCGCGGCAATTATCCGCAGGCATCTGCTGAAACTTGAGATAAGCAAGGTCAATTGAGTTAGATTTCACCAAAGCATGAATAAGAGCGTTATACAACCTAGTAGTAGGAGTAAGACTCAAGAACGAGATTTGACCGAAAATGTGAGCACAGTAATTCGCCAAGCCCAGACTCCCCCAACTTGCCATCAAAACGCAGAGCAAGTCCTCGGTGACGCCGTTAACGTCGCGGAGGAGATCAACGGATAGCAGCGCGGGGCCTTTGCGGTGCAGCGTGTTGGCGAAAGCGCGTTGCACGGAGTGGTGCGTTGCGAGGGCGGGGTTGACACGTGAGAGCCACGTGTAGAGCTTGATGGCGTGGGAGGGGTCATGTTGGTGGTGGAAGATGGTTAGGGCGGAGCGAGGGGTGATGTTTGGGGAGAGGTGGTGGTTGAGGAGGAGGGCCCAGTCGGGTCGCGAGAGGAGTCGCGAAATGTATTGGTGGTCGATGGGTTTGCGGGGAATGGCGTGCCTCATGAAGGGTTCGAGTGGAAGAGGCATGGTTGTTTGGAGAAGTTAGGTCCGCGCTCCACACTCACCACGCAAATGCCTCAATTCAGTCATCTTTCTTTAACTTTGTTTTTTTTCTTTTAAATTATTAAATTGCTCTTTAATCATACAAATAAATACTGTTATTTTATTTTATTTATGAAGTCCTTTAATGTTTAATATTTTTTTTAATATTTTAAGTTATTAAATATATGTATATTTTTTATTTAAAATTAATAAATTAATAATATGGGACCTCTTTTTAAGAAATAAACTTAATTACTATAATTTAAAACATAGTGAATAATACAATAATAGTGTGTTTGGATGAAGAATTTTACAAATTCAAAGAATTTTAAATTCTTGGTATTTGAATTACTTTGATTTCAATTTCTATCATTCTTAAAATATTTTGTTTGGATGAGTCAATTCAAATTTCTTAAATTTTAAATTGTTAGGTTGAATATGATAATTTGATTTCATCATAGTAAAATTGATTTTAAAAATATATTTATATGTTGAGATTTTTAAATTAAATTTTATAAAAATAAATATTAATCCATTTTTAAATATTTAATAATTTTAAAAATTAATATTAGATAATATTTAATAATTTTAAAAATTAATATAAGATAATATTTAATAATTTTAAAAATATTTTTAAATATCCAATAATTAAAAGAATTAAGAGATAAGATAAAATATATAGGTGAAATAAGAAAAACATATATGAGAAATTTCAAATTCTCCCATTTTTTGGAGAATTTGAAATTCTACTATTTTAATGAATTTCACAAATACTTGGATTTCAAATTCTTTGTAAATTTCTCATCCAAACAAAGCATTTCATCTCAAGAAATTTGAAATTCTTCAAATAAATGAATTACCCTATATAAATTCCTCATCCAAACACACCATAAGGAATATGATTAAAATCCTTTGGATCAACTTGAGACTCATTAGCCCTTATTAACATGAGCAACTGAATTTGTTTGTTTATAGACAAAATTGACCTCATGATTTCCTAACCTATTTAACAATCCCTTATAACTATCAATAATGCATCCAAACTCAATAATGTTTATCGTCAATTGTTAAAACAATTAACAATGTATTGGCAATATGATTCAAAAATAATGTTAAACAAATTCAAGTCTAACGCCGAGTTGAGAGCTTCTCTCAAAGGTAAAGCCCCACACTCATGTGATTCTAGAAAGAACAAAAAGTTGTGCACCTAACTACGCGAAATACTCTCTCATGATCTTTGACGCACATACTAGCATTGAAACCATTATTGACAGAGAAAAACACTGCATCCAAATTACATTTTAGCTTATCATATCTAGGTGGGGTCCAAGCATAATTACTAAGAGGTTTAGGTATTATAGAAACCCTTATCAATATGATGAGACAGCACCCATGCATCATGCACATTCTTAGTCGTGAAAATGGTGTCATGACTACCCTATTTTTTCCCCTCTCAAAGCTCCTTCTTTCTACTATACCATATACTCCATTGGACCATTGCAGTCTCAATAACTTGTTGCTCCCTATTATTCAACACGACCAAAAACAGATTCTTAATACCATCAGTTATGTTCATCAAAGTTAATAAGCTTATCAACAAAACACACAAACCAACATTGTTGAGTTTTACTACAACTGGCAAACAAATGCTAAGCATTCGCTAACTGATATTCACAAAGCACACACAAATAAGGTCTTTACTCCATCTCCATGAGCGATAATGTTGGTCATCAACCCTCGAGAGGGGAATACTAAGTATGTCCTTACAATCCTCTGGGTCAAATAACTCATTAATCACATCCAACTTCCAACAAGACCTCTCATTGTCAATGATTCCACTCACCCTCATATCGTGTAGCTCCTCAATAATTTGGTTCATAAATAGCACCTACCTACAAACCTTTTAAGCCACAAATCATTCCAAACAGAGATGTTATCACCACCTCCCATCTCTCACTTCCGACCCTCTTAAACTAAAAGCTTTGACCTCAAAATACTTCTCCATGCATAGTTAGGGTTATGAGCCAAGTTAGCTTTGAAGAAATATGAGTTTCAATAATACTTTGATTTTAGTAGCTTACTTGCAAGAGAGTTGAGCTCACTAATAAGTCTCTAAGCTTGCTTACTCAACATGGTCATGTTAAACACCTAAATATCCTTAAAACCAAATACCCCATAACTTTCTCAATAACAAGCTTATCCCACTTTAGTTAATTTATAACTCTACTCAAACTCAATTTTGAACCCTACGAGAAGGAATTTATCATATTCTCTAACTTTACACTAAGTGACCGAGGAAGGAGGAAAATACTCATAGTATAAGTGGGAATGAATTGCGAAATATTCTTAATTAACACCTTTTTGCCACCTTTAAAAAGAGGTCTATTACCTCAAGATTGGATTCTACACCACATAAGATCCTTTACATAAGAAAAAATCTCCTTATTTCTACTTAACAAGAATGAAAGACTCAATTGTCAGTCAATATAGTTACATCATTAATCTTTAAAATATTAGTAATATTAAATATAATATTAAGAGGGGTATTCTTCTTATAGAAAATCTCCAACTTAAAATGAAGAATTATTTTAGTAAAAAATTTCTTAAAAACACTTTTAAATTTATTTTCAGATCAAAAGTTAAGCAAATAAATTATTAAAATATTAAAAATATAAAATTTGAATCGATATTTCTTCGCTCCAAGATATCACTGAATAATTAGACTAATAAACTTCTTGAATTCTTAAAAAAAAAAAAGAAGTGATAATATACATACTTTAAATGAAAATCAAATTGAAAACATTATTAATAATAAATATACGTATAATTTTATTTATATTAAAATTTCAGTCAAGTGATGTCAAAGATAAGAATAAAAATGTAATATAATCCATCTTTAAATATTTGAATATATTTTTGTCCCAGCAGTTCCTTCCTTATCTGACGCGTTATGAGTTAAGAGTCCAGTCATGTGACGAAGCATTTTGTTGATGAAAAGTGCACCGAAGACAAAATAGAGAGAGAGAGAGAGAGAGCACATATAAATATATACAGCAAAGGAGGTCCGTGAGCGTGACAGTGGAAAAGGAATGACGCTGGGTCTGATCAATGCGAACCCCGTGGTTCACGCCAAGAAAGAGAGAATCTCTCGCTCCGAAGATCCTCACGCCGTTGATGCTCTCGATATCTATGATATCCTTTTTCCACTCTTTTTCATTCTCTTTTCACCCAATACTCTGCTAAACTTTTCAGATCCTTGACTTCGCTTCGATGTGCCAAATTTCGTGAGGGATATTAGGGATCCCGAACATCCTTATTCCCTGGAACAGCTCAGTGTCCTCTCCGAGGAATCAATCACCGTCGATCACGAATTAGGCCGAATTCTGTTAGTTTCTAACTCTTAATTTGGTCTCAGGGTTTGTTAAAAACCTTTTAATCTGCGGTTGTTTTTGTTCAGGATTACTTTTACGCCCACCGTTCAGCACTGTAGCATGGCCACGGTTATCGGTCTTTGTCTCAGAGTCAAACTCAAGCACTACTTCCCTCCTCACTACAAAGTTTGTTCCCTGTCCTTCCTTTTTCTATGCATGTCTTTTTTGTTGCTGTATGTTTTTGCTGGTTGGATATGTGTCTCGTTTATTGATTGCATACCTTATGTTTAAACCGCATTTTTGTTTGTTAAGAGCTAGCTAGGATTTGATAGCATGTGAAGGTGTGAATGAAGGGAGAGAAGTAACTGAAACAAAGCAGAAACAAGGGTGAATTGCGGAATAGGGTTCTTGTTGGTTCAAACTTGCTGTTATTGTGGTTGTTATTTTATTTTAGTCTTCTCTTTATCAATTATTCTGATCTTCTCGCGGAGTTGTTGTGATGTCTTTCTATTTAATCACGTGTCTCTGTTAGTTCTTATTTGTATTGTTCAATTGGATCTGGATTCCCTGCAGTCTGGGATTTGATGCATCCATACAGTCACTCAGTCAGTCAATTGGAACTGTTGGATGGAGATCGGATGACTCATTTTATCTTGGTAAAACCAAACTTAGGATATATATATTCGACATTTGAACCATTCATGCAGTTAGTCAATCCTGGATGAAGATCAGATGACTTGTATTTTATCTCGGTAAATCTGACTTAAAATATGCATGAATTTCATTCGCACCTATTCATAATTATGTATTGAATATTGTGGCATGTTGGTATGGATTGCGATTCATTTGATAGAAAGAAGTGAAGTGTGTATTTTTCCTGTGCTGCTACGTGGATTTCCCAGAAGAAGAAAAAAAGTTGTCGGATTTTTATTCAATTCCCTATTCAAGATATCCAGTCCATCAAAATATAGTATAAGGTATTTATACTTGTCAATTCGTTTATGTAGAAATGATACGATCAGGGTCCATTTCCGTTATGTGTATTACTTTCGACAATAATTTGACTCCACAAGAATCAGTGGTTACCATTATGACTCTTGGGGATGGGATGCTCGTGCCACATGTATTAAGTAATGAAGATAATCACCGAGTGAAATAGATTCTAGCTTATTAAATGGGGTTGAATATGTTGACATGAATGCCATAAGTGGAAGTTTGTAGTGTCTCTATTAAGGTCATCAATAAATGCATATGGTGATGCCAAGGGAGTATCTAGGATTACATTCTTGTTGCACCTCTGTACAAATAGTTTGGTATTTTCCTGTGTCATTGCTGTGTGATTTCATTCATTTGAACTTGTCTGGTGGCATAGTTGTCAATATAAGTGCTATTCCAGAATCACAGATCGAAGCAGATGGAGCATCTCCAAAAAATCGAGAGTCACAGTTTGGTGTAGTGGCCATTGCGGCTGCAACAGCAGGCAAAATCATAGCTGGAGTGAGCACTATTGTGATGGATTTTGCAAACAAAAACTACTATTCTCAGTAACTTGTTTCCACTCTGTCATGAAGTAGCACCTATTGACTACTGTTCTGTATGAGAAACACTCACCGCTTTCTGTTAACATTTCTGATCATCCCTGTCATTGTTTTGCAGCCAACTATGACTTTTACTGCCTATCTTTGTTCTGTTTTTTAATCTCTCTAAGACAGTTCTTTCATCGCACTGTCTTTTGCACTCTTATAAGTTTTACCCTTTTCTTATTCTAAATGGTTAGAATAGTGGCCATCCTGCTACCCACTATAGCATTTTTCAGGGTTGGTTGCTCTGTGCCACTATTTGGGATTGACAACCATGGTTGGTGGCATGTTAGTTGCCCTTGCTCCTGCTGGCTTTCTTTATTTTCATGTGAATTGTAGTTCTCAATGTTGAAAAAGTGAAAAATGGATTCTAATCTGTGTAGATGAGGGTATAATTGTTTCCTGACTAATAATTATCTCATTCATTTTTCAAATTTCTCTTTGCAGGTGGACATCAAGGTTTCTCCTGGATCTCATGCTGACGAAGAATCAGGTAAAGTTTAAACAATTGTTAAAACAATAACATTTAAGACTTAGGAAATGGATCCTCATATGTTAAAATTTGACATGACATGGTCGTGATCAAATCTTGTATATTTGATAGACGTTAAATTTGGGGGACGGGGGTATTAAATGTCTACTTAGAGAGAATTTGAACATGGCTAATCTTGTACACGAGGGGATCCATTCGTAAGGCCAAGTCTTTCCCATCTCCTTTCTTCCACTTTTTTTACCTTCTGTTTTCAGCAGCATCTCAAACAATACTAAAAACCTTATTGATCCTATTCTCACCAAAACTACTATGCTCACCTACTTAATGACGCCCTTTCACTTTTGCCCCTGTACCTCACTGAGAAACCACACGAGCTTCTAATAATACTACAAATATTCTTTATGCAGTCAACAAGCAGTTAAATGATAAAGAAAGAGTGGTTGCTGCCTTGGAGAATCCCAACCTCCGCCAGCTTGTGGAAGAGTGTCTCTACTCAAATGAACTGTGAACAAGCAAATATGTCAGCATTATAGTAACTTTTGTACAGCGTTTTTACCGCTTACGATGCTATAAAAAGTAGTCGATATGTACGGAAAGTAGTTGGACGGGATTTACCTTTCGAGAAGCTTTATCTCTTTAATTTTCATAGGATGTATCTTTGTGTTTAGTATGTGGTATGTGTGTAAATCAAGTTGAACATCAATCATGTCATATTTTTGTACCTTCTACTACACAGAATATGCTTGATCAGTCTGTTTACGGGTTGACCCGGTTCTTACACTTAATTCATGCCATGCCGTTTAAATTTGTTTGTTTTAAAGTAAGCATCATTTCTTATGTTCCTACTCAGCCGTTGTTGGCGTTGCAATGAATTTCCAAAGCAAATATTGCACACAAAATGGTATGTTATGATTGATGAATAGCTGAAGACTATTGTGGTATTACTTATGTCAGACGATTCGCAAAAGGAAGGTCAATGCGGTTTAGTTATTAATGCAGACGTTGATATTTTTTTTCTTCAGTACCAGACACGTGAGGTTGCTCTGTTATAGATTACGCACATCACATGACTTATAACAGCATAAGGGGCCGTCTGAAAACACGTCTCAAAACCTGTATCAACTTAAAAGTAACAAAGGATATTCTTCAAATGATAAATTATATATACGATTTTCAAACTCGTAATGTATCACTTTATGAACTTTCCATAAACATACTTGGGATATTTATTGAATCTGTGTTTTTTATTAATTCTTTTATAGATAAAATCAAATCCATCAATCGATAGATGTCCAAACCAAAGAGATTGCAATAAAGTATATCATCTTGCTCGCCTAAATCGAAATTTCAAATTTATAATTTCTTGATCATGCTTTGAGGATCACAGCCAAGTATTACTATAAACCATTTCCCCCATTGTCCTCAAAATATCAAGGACACGGGATGTAATGCACTCAATCACCGAATTGTAGAGGTTTTATAAGAAATAAAATTGAAAAACACTAATCTTTAGACTAAAAATAATTTTTTTTAAAAGAAAATATCATTTTTGTGAATTCCTTATGCCAAGGTCTGAAGGCAAGACTCACGTCTCACCACTTCCATGATCCAGCCCATTCATCTCCTTTGACTTGCTTTAGCTTTCGCTGACACGGCCTCACAAGGTTTGATTTTGATAATTGAATTCCACTACGCGGAGAAAAGTCAAAAACAACAATTCTAAGCAACACAGCGATATACATCCAAATATATTATGCTTTTGCAATCACTAATGTCACACTCAATCAACCCAACCACGCAGCAATTGAATAATGTCCATCCAAAGTTGACCCTCTCTTTCTTACAACAAAAAAGGAATCTGCAATTAAAACAGCTCACAACATCTCCCAACTATTCATCCCTTCCATCATTCACCAAATACCATTAATTCCAGGAACACACGGAGTTGGAACCAAAAAAGAACACGACCATAGTAATCTCAAGTTTGAGGATGATGGAATTTAGCAGAAGCTTCAGGTTGTCAAGATCACACCACATACTTCTTTCATCAGAATCTGTGACTTCGGAATGTGCCAAAATCGCTGGCTATGAGAGACTCTCACAATCCTTGAGGATAAGTGGGGAACACGATTTCAGTGATAAGCACAAGAAGCATAAAAGGGGTGTGGGGCTTCTTGGTAAAGTTTTCTCCTTTAAAAAAATATCTTCTCCCCATGAAGATCCTAATAAGGTGGTAAAGAAAGAGAAGAAACGCTCTTCTTGGCTTCCTGATCCAGATAGACGGTGGCCAATTCAGGGATGGTGATGATGGGTTTCATGAAATCTCACAAGGTTTTCTATTCAGCTCTTCTATTTGTTGCATATTTGTATTTGGAATTCGAATTCATCTTTGCCTTTGTACTATAAGATCTAACAATATTCTCAAGATTCACCCTTCAATGATTCTAGTAAAGAAATTCATCAAGAAATATCTGTTGTGTTTTTAGGTAAATTAGTCTAACCATCCAGGGTTCCAGTTCTGTAAAATCACTCCAGCTTGCAATAAATGAAGCGATTTTTAAATTTAATACACTTTAATTCTTTAACCAGCATTTTTGAGACTCTGGTTAGCAAAATCCTTAAAAAAAAAAAAAGTCTTGACAAAAAATAGATTCATTTAACTAGATCATAACGAGGGTTTCTTTTTTTAATACCAGACATTGTTATATCTATTCACACATTCTATTTTCTAAATTGGTCCTTATTTAAATTTTAAAAAAATTAATTTAAATAAATAGTTTTATTATTTAATGTGATTTATTAATAAATATATGCTTAAAACCTCTTTTTATCACATAAATGAATTATTTATCTTCTCATATTTCTTCCATCAAAATTATTTTTCTTCGATATATTTCCGTGATCATGTAACTTTTCAGTAGAGTCATTAAACACAAATTCGTAAAATATCTTGTTTTGTTACAAAACCATGCAAGTATATGTAACTTTATCATTAAAAAATTGAATATAATATCAATAAATCACTATTTTATTTTAAAAAATATTTGAATTATTTGAATTTTTTTTTTATTTGTTCTACCTAGATACTAGGTTAATTATATTCATATGTATTGGTGGATGATATTGCAACCAAGCAAAATTAGTTGCATTAGAGTGTCGAAACTAGTTTCTACTATGGTTTTTAATTCAAATTGGTTTAAACTTAAATTAAATGAAATAATTTTAAGAAAAAAATAAAATTACAATTAAAAATAAGTTTTTGTTGAAAAATGTTTTTTTTTTCTCTTGGAATTTAAACAGGGTCAAGTTTAAAAATATAAAAAGAATTAAAAGTGAGAAATATTAATAAACATGTTAAAGTGTGTTAATAATTTTCTATTATTAACAATGATTATTTACTACTAGTATTATAGTATGTGTAATACAGTCTTAACCTTATTATATATAACTAAAGTTTATAACACATTACATTATATATGCAAATAATACTATGTTTTAATATGTAAATTATATTTAAAGTTTGTATAAATAGATATTTTTAAACTTATAAATGGTATTTTAGATAAAAGATAAATAATTTATTATAACACGTGATTATTTTTATTTATTGATAAGTTATTTTAAAAGTTTTAAAATTTAATTCATAAATAACTATGATAAATAAAAATTGAATTGGAAAAGGAGTTAAAAAAATCTCTACAAATTTTCATCGAAATTTTTTTCTAAAAATATTTTTATACATGATAATTATTCATGTTTAATATATAATAATTAATTTTATTAAGGTAAATTATTTTTATAAAATTTAATTAAGATCAACTTTAACAAGTAATTGGATTATATAGTACTGACATTATGAGTAAGATTTAGAGTTCAAAATTTTTTATCATTAAAAAAAATGATTGTGTAAAAAAATCAATTAAAGTCGGTCAATTAATTTGACAAACACTAGTCATCTGGTAGAAACTTTATATCCATAATATAGTGTTAAAATAAATATAAAAAAAAAATACTAACAAGCATGTTAAAGTATATATGGCTCTATTATATGTTTATAATCTTTTGTTTTTGGCTTTTTTGTAACAGGGAGCTTAAAAGCCCAAAAGGAAAATAAAATTCAAACTACCTCACTAGATTAACGGCTAATAAGAAGAAGAGAAGAGGGGAGAGTCATAAACAATAAAATTATCCTCTGACACAACTTTATGTTTGGCTAGCTAATCAGCCATTGAATTTGTTTCTTTACAAATATGCGAAGTTGAAAAACTCAAAAAAACATTGGCTAATTGGCAAATCTTTTAAATTATATTAGCATAAGGATGATTCATAGCACATCCTTCTTTCAACAGATTAATTGCTTCCAAAGAGTCTAATTTAAGTATGACTTGCATGCCAGGTTGATGATCCACAATAAGTTGGAAGTCCCTGCAAAATGACCCTTAATTTCGATTAGATAATTGAACAACTACCCATTCTTCTAGTAAAAGCAACGATGAATCCACCTTTAGAGTTTCGGATCACTCCTCCATATGAACTATCTCTACCATTGGACACTGCACCGTCACAGTCAACTTTAATAAACCCCTAGGAAGACAAATCCAAGAACTAAAGAGGGTTGTATGTTGGTTCATTTTTTAATCGTTAATAAATATTAAATAATATTATTCAAATATGAATTTTTTAAGAAATTGAGAAATACTTTATGACTTATAAATTGTTCATTATTCAGTGTAAATATTATTATTTAGAATTTTTAAATTTTTAATATAATAAATACTTTTTAATCTTTTTTATCACTAATAAATGTCATTAATTAATTTCAAAAATACTAATTCATACATATTAAAAATAGTATAAATATATTTAAATATTAAAATTTGTAATTATGAATAAAAATGATTTCCACGATGAAAATTAATATTGAAATATTAATTGAAAAGTCGATAGGGTCGACATAGTGAGAGGTTTGGATAGTTAGCAAAAGTTTTAGACTCATTTTGTTGTAGTTGTTGTACCCAAAAAGTTCTATTGATAGCAAGTAATTTCTTGAATAATAAACAAATAATTTCTTATCTTTTAAATTCTTCTATTTAAAATTTAAAGTGCGTTATCTTTCGAAGTTAATCTTTATTTACTTTTATTTAAAATATTAGTAAAATGTGAAAGTCACTCACTCATCAAGTTAAAATGCTGTTTTTTTTTAATAATTTAATAAAAATGTATTGATAACACAAGTTTTACGTTGTCATTCAATATTAATACATCAAGTATAATTACTTTAAAATTATTTTTTTTATTGATTAACGTTTTGAAAATATTTACATAATAATTACATGATAATTAAATACTAATTTTAAAAGCATACCTTTATACTAACTAATTATATTAAAAAACTATAATTAAGGATTTAAATTTTTGTATTGAGAAAGCTAATATATTGATAAAATATTTGAATTATTTAGATATGTACATTTTTCTGGTTAATAATATATATGATGTGTTTCTAAATTCTATGACTGTCCTTTAAAAAATTCTATCAAAACAAAAAAAAATATAAAGAAATAATTTAAGATAATAAATAATGAAGAGTAAATGATTTATATAATGTGATAAAATAGTTTTAATAAAAATAATATAAAATGAAATAAAATAAATATCAATATCTTAAAAACTAAAAATATAAAAAGCAAATAAACACTGAAAGTATTTTGTTTAATGTTATATAAAAGGTTAATTCTAGAAAATAAATTACAAAATGTTATTTGTATATAGTATAACATATTTATAATTTATAAATTAATTTGTTTAGGATTTTTTTACCATTTATTTGTTACCTATTCCTGTTCTAGTGGCAATTCAAGAAAATAATACTAATTTGTTAATTTTATCATTTAATCATAATTTCTAACGTTATTTTTTTTCCTACACCTCTTATCGTCAGAAGATATAAACCTACAAGAGCATGATGTAAATTTATTAAAAAAGCATAAAGGCAGATCTGGGTGGATTCGAACCACCATCCTACCAGAGCATGCACATGTCAATGCTCCGATCGCTCCACCGTTTTGAGCTTACAGATCTTTTAAATAATGAGTTGATAATAAAAAAATGAAGTTTGGGGTAGAGTGACAAAGTGTTCTCATTTTCAATTAGCAAACAGTTATCATAGAATTTAATAGCAGAACTTCATTTAAAAAATTAATTGTAAACACTGAATATTTAAATTAAAAAAATAACAAAATTTTCACCAACAAACAGTTTAAGAAAATAATTATTAAAATTAATTCATGCCAACAATCTATAAAAGCTTCAAACAATTTCTAGCTTCCACATTATTTTTGACAATTCCAAAATGCCCGTCATAGTTTGAAGATTCAATGAATGTGTTTATAAAAAGAAAATTCGAAAACATAATGTCATCAAATAATAGTTTGAAAAAGACTTTATTTTTGCAACAAAAAACCCGTCAATAATTAAAATCTTTTAAATAAAATACTTCAAAAATATAAAATAAATTAAATATTTAGACAACGGGCGAAGTTGTAGAAGAGTTATTGTGCGGATCACTACAGTACGGAATAAATATGATATTTAAAAACCTTAATTTAACTTAGTAAAATAGCAACGATCCCATAATTATTTTTAATACTTCCAAAATGCTATTCAAATATATTGAATATAAACAATGAAGACTCTTTTTTGGCTCAATATAGATTACAAGTAACATTAATAATTCAAAGAAAAAAACTCAAATTTTAATTGCATAATGAAAAAACCAAAAACAGTTTATAACTCTCTATAATGGTACGATGATAACAAAAGTTTAGCACAAACACAATTTAAAACCTAACAAAACCGAGACCCTAAACCTCATTCAATGAAATGCTAGACTGAAAACTATATTAGAGTTTAATTACTTAACATTTATAAAAAACGCAAATATAATCAGTTCATATGTTTGCGGAGCACACCAAAAAGGGATCAACCATCTTTCTCAATTTTCTAAAATGACTTCAAAAATTTCATTTCGACAAATTTATTGTTACTTAATTGTTGGCAGAACACAGCTATGTAAACCGTGGCCTTTCACATTTAAATGAGTTTTCCATTAAAATGTTAAAGCATTAAAAAAGAATTAAATGCAAAACCGATTCTTTGAAAAAACAAGGCCAATAAATTAACTGTATATATAAAACTGCTGTATACAAACATATAGCTATAATAATTCAAACAGTTGTTACATATATTTCTTGATGAATATTCTACTTATAGATATAGATAATATTAAGTATTCTAAAAAAATACACTTCTTATTTGATACTAAAAAGAACCGTACAAGTATTCTGTATCATTACATCTTAACAATGAAATATACAGACTATTGTATGCAAAATATTTGAATTGCTATATATACTGGATAATAAAACAATATTAAAACTTCAAAAGATAAAAATGAAGGAGGCTAAACCACAATATTAATCATATGAGAGAATGAAACATGACACAATCTGAATATTATAAACATCCAAAACATGTATATTAATAAATAAATTATTGAAAAATAAAAATGCTAATTATATATAGCGAAACTTCTGAATAAGTATTTATACTGCCTAATAACACCGCATGAGAGAATGAAACATGAGACAATATATGTATACAGAATAACCAAAATTATTATCAAGTATAATTCTTTTCTTTCAAGAGCCGAAGTTATCTTCACCTTAATAGTTGAAGAAGCCAAAATCAGAATCTTAATCGACGATTTTTCTTCAAAAATGCCTTGTCCAATCCAATGGTGTTCTCGCTGAGTATGATACAAGCCGCGTTGCGCCCTCAAATTTGATAAGTGAGAATCCTACGTTCCTCACATTACTTGCTTTGAAATTAACCTATTTCTGCATTACAAATGTTGACAGCCGAAGCTGAACTCCTTACATATAAATAAGCGTACAAAATTGATACAAAGACCGAAAATACAGATGTCGATCTTGATTGTATACAAGCCACCGGAGTTTACGAGCTAAAAAGGTAACTTGAAATAATCGAAATGATACCAGCAAAAGTATAAAAACTGAATAGGTAATCGGAAACTTGAGATTAAAAACAATAAATGATGTCGCATGTAATTACTAAATAAATATAATAATTTAAATAATTACACAGATCAAAAGGGCTGAATTTGGTTTTTTCATAATACCGATTATCTGGTGATATTAAGAGTCATACAACTCGGTTTAATACCCCCAACCCCTTTACCTTTCAGAAAGTAACTATCAATGAACTCCACCTAGCAACTTCTGCCAATAAGATTACCAAAACTTCGGATCAATATTACTTAAATTACCATCTGAATAAATTAAATTAATTAATCTTGAAATTTAATTATGATTATAATTATAACTGGATCTAACGATTTACTTGCTCTGCAGTAACTATGCCGATGATTAATTGTAAAATTAAAACTGCTACCGGTTTTAACTAGGTAATTAAGTAAGAGTGTAAACCCTAATCCTTTCGAGTGTAAATTGATAGATAATACCTTATTCGATAGGAGTTGGAGCATATCCTCTGACGTATCCATCTGATCCAGAGTCGAAATACGGAGTGGAGCGACAGATAGGTAATAATAAAAGGCATAACGAAAAGGAGCACAGCACACACCACACGCGGGAGAGACCCCGGGCAACTCCCGTGCGATCTCTCCCCAAACCAATAAAACTTTTTTTTATTAAGATTTTTTGACCTGCCATGCAAGCGCACCTGTCATGGCAAAGGTCGGATGACAAGATCACTCAGGACTCAAAAACCCCAACCGACGAAGCGTTTTGAGGTAAATTCATCCCGAAATCTCCTACATCCACATAATTTCCACCTCAAAGCTTCACATCATACACTAAATTTAAAACATCCGAGATCTGCAACATATGTAGCCGGCGGAAGAGACACCGCTTCAGAAACAAGCAAGAACAATCCGACGTGCATACATAGAAATCAAGAAAGCGAGAGCAACTAAACCGATCGGCGCGAATCTGCGTTCTTGTCATCGGTTCTCCGCTATACCTGCAAAAAAGTACCTCAAGAGGCTTGGCATATGCAAGACGAAACGACTTTCAACGAAAAAGATTCCAAAGGCAAGACGAACATGAAGCGCACACCTCTGTACCATAGATCAGACGCTAAAAACATCAGATCTAAGAGAAACCTACAAGATAAATCAAAGAAAATAAAATTAATTACTATGAACCACAGATCAAACCTCAGCAACCGTAGATCTGAAAGCGCGAGCACCAGATCTAAGAAAGACCTAAAAGATAATTCAAGAAAATACAAAATCAAATACTAAATAAACGGATGAAACCTGATCGATGCAAGACTCCGATTGAATGGCCAAAACCACCGTCGGCGTGTAGATCTGGTTCCGATCCATGTAGATCCAGTCACGAAGGCGTGACGGAGACGAAAGAAGAACTACATCTGGATTCGTAGAAGTCGATAAGAAAAGGGGAAAAAGAGAATAAAGATAAGGTTGAAGGCGAAGAGGCGCTGAATGAGAGAAACAAGAGAACCCTAACGTTTCTTTTATAATGGGATTTGCGGAACGGACGGCTGAGATTGATTGTGTTGACGGTGAAGATTAGGTGACGTGTAACGTTAGGTGCGGCTCATTTATCGATGGGCCTATGCTGTTTGTTATCTGTCACTTTACAAATAATGGAGGGGTATTTTTGTAAAATACTAGCAACGCGATGGCGGTTTGGTGTTTACCCTACAAGGACGGCAACAACGCATCGCATTGCGTGGTCCTTACGCACGAAGTTGCATCGCATTGCGTTATCTCTACGTTTTTTTATGACTGATTTGTCTACACATTATGTCGGTCGTTTTAAATATATTCATTTTATTTATTTTAATTTTTAAATAACAGCATATTATTAAATTATTTTCTTTTCTGTTAATGTCATTATTAAACAATATCAAATTTATTTATTAGATTAATTCAAAAATTAGAAAACAACTTCAAATTTTGTTACTTGTTACTAAATTAATTCAGTTTTTTGGAGGATGAAAAAACCATGATCTTATCTACTATCAAAATAAAAATTGACCATCCTTTAGAATTGGTATAATAAACGAATTGCATACTATTCTATCTTTCATTAAACAAATAAGAATTGATGAATTTGTTCAAATACATTTGGGTGATTATAATATCTGAATCACTAGATGGAGATACGATAGAGTATGTACGTGGTGGATTACTCTTTTTTTGCCAAATTGATTTTGGGATATAATTTATATTTGAATGATTCAATTTTAAAAATAAGTTAACAACAAAATTTAGCATAATTTTTTTACTAAATATAAAGTTGTTTCAATTCAAAATTAAATTTAAATACAAAATTAATTTTTTAATATGTGATTAAATATATAAATATTTTTTAACCAATATATATAAATATTCAATTAAAATTACTTTAATTATTATTTTAACCAAAATTTAAATGATCTAACATAAATTCAAACCCACAATAACTCAATAACTACACCAAATACATCAAAAGCACTGACCTAATTTGATTATAATTAGCTTTTTTTATGGAAACACTTTTATATGCATTCATGCACATGTTATTTGTTTTCAAAATATATATTTTTTTAAAGTCACTTTCAAATTAAAACGACTGAATTGAATATATATATATATATATATATATATATATACACCCAAAAAACAACAGAAAAATTCATTGTTGATATGATATAATAAGCAAAAAGACTTTATAGAAAAATAAACGATTATTTTCTTCTCACATCACCCTTACACGAAGAAGACAGAGGAAAAGGGAGTAATTGTTGGGGGGTTTCAAGTTTCCAATTCTATCCATAATTGCTCCTATCGCCTCTCGTGATAAGGTACGATGCTATTTTTTCATTATACAATTACAAGGTACATATAACAATAAATAAATAAATAAAATACTTTTTTTAATATTTTTTTAAGATATATTTACATTTTTATAATCACAACTCTAATTTATTTGATATATAGTACTTTAAATTAACCTATATAAAAACATATATATTTATTATATAATTAAAATATATAATAATTAAATATAAATAAATATTATATTTAAATATATAAATTATGTGTAAAATATGTATAAATATTAAATAAATATTTTAAGATGTATAAATAATATTTAAAATTTATGATAATTATTTTATATTATAATACAAAATTATTTTATTTATTAATAATTTATTTAAAATGTTAATATTTTATTCAAAAATAATTATGATAAATAACAATTGAATCAAATAAGAAATTAAAAAAATCATTATAAACTAGCTCATTAAAAAAATTCTCTAAAAATACTGAATTGAGATTCATGTTTAGTATACATAAAAAAAAATTATTTGCCATTTCAACATTTCTTCTTTTTTAATAATTGCAACTCTATTTCAAATAAGATTATTCTTAAGGAACCTTGGACATAAAAAAAAAAAAAAAAAAAAAAAGTTTTTAAATCTGATAACAAGAATACTATTTTTTTTTTAGTTTGATATTTTAAAAAAAATTATAAAACATATTTCTAAGATTTATAATGCTCATAATCATCATTTCTAGACATATATATAAATATATATATATATATATATATAAGGTTATAATTATACCGGTGTAACTTTTACTAAGTATTACATCGCTCAATAATTTTATATTAATTGTGAATTTTGTAAATTTAACCGTTAGATTGAAAGTTCATATCACTTTATACGTGTATATCAAATTTTGTTAAAATTGAATAATAATTTGAAGGTAATCAAAGTGTTCATATTTTAGTGTATTTTGAAATGAATATATTACGTTAATTTTATTTTATAAAAATGAAGTATCAAATTATCTTGGATTAATATAAAATTTTGTATATATGATCTCAAAGATATGAACATTCAATCTAACGATTGGATTTACAAAATTCACATTTAATATAAAATTATTAGACAGTGTAATACATGGTAAAAGTTACATCGTTGAATTTAAAGTTCTTAATGCAAAAATAAAGTTTACAATTTTAAAAAAAAAATTAAAGATCATTTGATACTTTGTTTCATTAATTTAAATTAATGGATATTCATAAAATCATTTTATACGATTTTGAATCAATGAAACGAAATGTCAAATAATTTTCAAATTTTTAAAAATTTTACAAACTTTATCTATGTATTAAAAATTTTAAATTCAACAATTTTATCGTTGAAATCTGATGTAAAATATAAATTATTGAACATAATAAATTTAAATAAACTTATTCTTAAAATAAATGAATTTCTCCTTTCTCTCTATATATATTATAACTATAGTGAGATGTAATTATGTTGGATTTTTTTTTTGGTAAGGTGTGAAACTAAAACAAACAGGCAAACTCAAGACACAGAGTCTCTCCCTAACGGTAGCAGGATAAAGTCTGGAGGACTCCTCCAAAATACATTGGAACCTAGGTTCCGTACACCCCAATTAGCAAGCGTATGTGCTACTGAATTTATCTCTCGAGGGATATGACTTACGTACACTACCCAGTCCCGAGCTAGCATGCTCCTAACACGACGAATGATATCATAGTGTTTATGCAGGTAATCCCTATCCGTTGACCGATCTTGAAATAGTGTAACAGCTCACAGGCAATCACATTCGCAACTCACCTTCCGAAACCCACCTTCCCAACAGAACGATAAGCCATCTTTCAAGGCCAACAGCTCGGCACGTAACGCATCCCCATGTAAAGCCCCACGCGAGAAACCCCCCGCCACATATTTAAGAGCACGAATGTTACATTTTTTAATATTTTGAATTTGGATTGCCGCTAAATTTCTTTAGAGGATATCCCATAACTCTATGTCTCTTGGAAGGGTTGTGATTCTCTTGAATACTTCAAAATTTGTATTATCCTGTAATTTAATAATTGTATATTTCTCTATGGTGCCTTGACACATTTGGAATGAAGAGCTTGACAGATTGCATATTAGGTGCATATGTTGAGCATGTAATGGAATTGAGGGAGTTCCTCAATCAAACTGTACCATTACTGGTGGAGGTTGGGTTTGATTAGATTACAAGTATGAGTTTTATTAAGATTAATCACAAATTAACCTGTTTTAGTATGTTGTCGTGTTATTAGGGCTCCTAATGAATGACATCCTTCTTCTAGAGGTGACAATAACTTATTAAAATAACTATCTCATTTCGAAAAACGATAATACAAACATGTTATTAGTCCATATATAAAAATAAATGGAAGTCAAATTGGTGGGTGAAAATTATTAATATGTTGAAGACCACACACATGTTCTCTAATAGTTTACATGATATGCTAGGGTGTGTATTTTACATTTTATTCGCAATGTATTATTTGCAATTTCTCCACGACTTTGGAATCCTAAGGACCTATACATGTTTATATAAACACCTCCATAGATAACAAATTCAACATCTCACGTATGAATTTATTTTAAAAAATTTTATTTTTTTTAAGGAAACTTACAAATCAAAAAGAAAAAAAAGGCAAATCGAGGTGAGAAATGATAAAACAACGTTACAATCATTAGGAATTGATAAATTGATTAAAATTTGTTACTTTAAATTAGAAAAACTGAATACAATAACAAAAGACAATTTTTAAGAAATTATAGAGATTTTTCTATCATAAAGTTTTATTCTAAAATGAGTCTAAACTTATTATAAAATCATTATTTATCTTATTATATTGTAGGTTAAAATGTTGCAAAGCCTACTTATAAAGGCACAAACATAAGTTAAATAAAATTCACACAGAAGCAAGTTGATTAATGATATGCTCACCACTAGGGATGGCAACGGGGCGGGGCGGGTACGGGTTTCATGATACCCGTCCCCGTCCCCG